GAAGATCCAATCCAACGTGGAATGGAGAAGCCTTGGATTGATTTCAGCTCAGTGGTGAAAGCTGACCACCGACGAGCCATTGATGCAGGTACGCAAATAAAAATACAAAAAAAAAAATACAAATTTATTATATCATTTTTTTTAATTAAAAATAAACCTACAATATGTCCAACATAGTTAAAAAAAATTAGTTTCATTATTCATCAAAATTATGACTAATTGTATCTGTTATCATACTTTTATTTAACTAATTATACATCAAATTTTTTGGATAAAAGAATAATTAAAGTATAGATGTAAATGATTGAAAAACGTATTCTAATCTTCGTCACTGTCGTCGTTAATTACAGGTATTACATCATGTAGAAGAAAAATTTATGATAGTTTTTTAGCTGGTCTGATTATTTCAGACTGATATCTTGCATATGCTCAATAGTAAACAATTGATGCCACGTGAGAACAACAGCCGATTGTTCTTATGCCGTTTGCGTACTCATAGCAGTATCTCTGTATTGCACTGTATCCAATAGTATGTGGTATGTAGTCAATAAAGCAATTGTATGTCTTCTTGGAGATGTGTCGCGATTGAACTTTAAACTAGACAATTGTAGGTTTCTCTTTTAAGTATTCTACATCAATTTCAATTTCATTGTTTTCATCTATAATCTTTGCCAGATATGATACTGCTTGGTGTAACTGGTAGGTTTCTGTAAATAATATTTTTAAATCTCTTTCGGTCATTTCTGGAAAATTTTCACAATCACGAAACTGTAATTTAAAAAATTTACTTTTTCTACGGCTCCATTTTTTTAATTCTGCTTCCTCAGCTAACGTATTTTCTTTGTTCTTGTGACATTCTACTTGCGATAACACTTCACTTGTGATAGATGTATTTGCATAAAATCTCATACTAAATAAGTTATTTAAAAAATCCACTATTTTACAGTAAGTTTCTGCATCAGGAAGTATTTTATTATCAAATTGATTATGGAACACTTCCACTTCCAACTTATTACACAATGTACTGCTTCAACTACCCATCGAAATATGGTTACTTTTCGAGCATAATTTGCTTTAGCTGCTGCAAGTTGTTTTCTTTGGCCTTTTAGCTTCTAAAAATATTAGCTGTTTGAGAAACTCTTTATTTATTGAATACAGGGGAGGTGGACCCGGCGACAATGAATAGCGCACTTTTCTGCGTGCTGTGCTCCACTGATATTGTTGGTGGCCTAGCTGTCTCGAGTGGCTTACTGGCTGCTGACGGTGTGGCTTGGCTGGTAGAGGCGTGTAGCTGGCCAGCTGATGCGTGAACCTGTGTGTCAGGAGACGAACTGAACTGGTCCCGGCACAGGCCGTCGATGCCAGCGGCAGTGGCGTAACGAAGCGCCGAGACGATCAGGAGGGGGGCCCGACCGACAGTATATCGTCGAACGAAACATCCCGCCCGCCTCGTTCCAGGAACGAAACTTCAAGTCCCGCCCGCCGTATCCAGAGCGGTTTCGCCTCCGGGCGATGCAGGCTGAGAGGCCGTCCGGGTTATCACCGGAAGCAGCGTGACTTTCGTGATTGGCCTGGTGTATTCTCCCGTCGCCGTTCGGACGGTCACAGCGCGTACGAGGCCGTCCGGCGCAGGGTGAACGCCAGTTATGCGGCCGAGAGGCCAGCGGCCATCGGTCGAGAGCAGAGATGAGTCAAGGACGGTGACGATATCACCCAAAGTCAGGTTCCGATGAGGGCTGATCCACTTCGATCGCTGTTGAAGAGTATTAAGATACTCCCGACTCCATCGGGCCCAGAATTGTGCTCTTATGCCCCGGACAAGCTCTCAGTGAGCCAGATGGTCGAGATCCTGATTGGGTGGCGCGGCCTCAATAATTAAATTGAGGGGTGCTCCGATGAGAAAGTGACCGGGGGTCAGTAAGCCCAGGTCGTCCGTGTCGCTCGACAGTGGAGTGAGGGGTCGGTTGTTGGAGACAGCTTCGATCCCGACCAAGACGGTTGAGAACTCCTCGTATGTCAGGTGCCGCGAGCCCATGACTCGTTGGAGATGACTTTTGACGGACTTGGCCGCGGCCTCCCAAAGACCTCCAAAGTGAGGGGCCCCACGTGGAATAAAATGCCACTCGATACCTTGATCTGCTAGGGCACCCGCGACGAGGTCCCACCGGTGCTCAGCAAGACGGAGCGCGTCGCGCAACTCGGTGTCAGCTCGATGGAAGCACGTCGCGTTGTCGCTCCAGAGTTCAGACGGTTTTCCCCGGCGACCAGAGAAGCGGGTGAGAGCCGCAAGAAAGGAGACGATTGATAGATCGCCTACGAGCTCCGGATGTAGTGCCTTCGTGGTGAGACAGATAAATATGGCGATGTAACCCTTCGTGGTGCGAACGCCTCGGCTCTTAGCTGCGAGGACGTGGAACGGCCCGGCGTAATCGATCCCAGTGCGACCGAAGGCGCGGAAAGGAGTAACTCGTGACCGTGGGAGAGGAGCCATCAACTGGACAGCTGATCGGGCTTGGAGGCGAGCACAAGTAACTTAACTGCGTAGGAAAGCCTGGACTTTCCGGGTGCCACCGATGATCCAAGCACGCTTGACGGTGTACGCGCTGGTGGTGCGAAAGCCCCCGTGGAGCGCTCGGTGATGGGCCCACGCGATCGTAAGCGTGGTGAGAGGGCAAGCGCCGTCAAGGATAGGTGGATGTCGCTCCGCGAAGGTCATCTCGGCGTGCTGGAGGCGACCGCCCACACGCAGAACGCCGTCTGTATGGACGAAGGCTGCGAGCGATGTCAGTGGGTGCCGCTTGAGAAGGGCGCGGCCCGTGCGAAGCAGTGCAAGTTTATCAGAGAAGGCACGCTGCTGGCTCAAGCGCACGCAAGCGAGGTAGGCATCGGTCAACTCGGTAGCCGTCGGTGCTGAGAGCATCGGTCGTGGAGGGGCTCGGC